CTTGCCTTGAGTCTGCTGCGTAGTCGTAATTTGAGCGATAGGTAAGCTAGATGGCAGCACAATCTTAGATACTACGTAGTGAGGTATGATAACCAACAGCTCGTTCGTGCAGCGGTGCGCATCTATGGCGGACGGCAAGCGTATTGCGATAATAGTTCGTCCGTGGTGCTATGTAGTCGTGCTCTTTTTAGTTCTCACTTCCTACAACAAGATAGTAGTCCACAGCTCGCACACGGCGACTGACTATATTTGTTTGTTGTTGTGCTTGTTTGCTGTTGCTGAGCCGACATCGGATATCGCCGTTCGATACACAACGTGACATCATGTCTGACAGCCTGCGGCGGGCCAGAGGGACGAGAGTGAGTGTCTTCTCGACAGAGTCAATGCCTTCTCTTCTCGAGAGAGTCAATGCCTTCTCTTCTCGAGAGAGTCAATGCCTTGTCTTCTCTCCGCTCTCGTATTTTTGTCTACCTCTCTTTCTCTCTCTCTCGCCTTTCGCCGGTAGGGTCCCAACAACATCGAACGTCAACCAACCGCAGTCGTTTCGCTTTTTGCTGAGTAAGAGGCTACCCGTGCATCCGGCTGCTGCATGTGAAGCGATGGGCGTTATGCCAAGCAATGGACTTGGGCCCTACCTAATATTTGCTCCATATGTAGTGCTATGTGAGAGTTTCCAGCGGTCCGGAGCGAGCGGCGACGGTGCTTTTCTTCTATGCGCTCTTTTGCCTCCTCCCTGAAGCCTGTCGCGTCTGACTCGTTTGTTCTCGCTTCTTTCTTTCTTTTGTTTTTCATGCTTTTGTTTTTTGGGGTCCCCCGGTTCCTGTGTGCTCATCGGGCATCTTCTTGGTGTCTACCTTGATTGTTACCCGCTGCAAAAATCGAAAGCTTCAGACAGGCAACGCGACGATACTCGTCGAGATGCCATACACAATGAATTCATTGCTAATCTGTCTCAGACTCTTTTCTATGATGGAGATGGATTCGTTGTGTCATATTAAGAAGAATAAACATAAAAAAACATCCTGTCGTTACTCTATCGATACCTCACACCCACCCCTACTCACGCCGACGCAGACACAGACAGGCAGACTCAGCTCTTTCGCCTGTGCTGTATCTGTTGTTCGTGCGTGCTGAAAAATGGTACATACAGCAGCAGCTTACCGCAGCAGGAGCTGCTTTTTGCTTGTTTGTACAGCTTTTCCTGCAGGGATGGCTCTTGTTGTGCGGCAAGTTGCATTGTTTGTTGTTGATGCGGACGAGAGGACGAGAGTGAGTGGTAGGCAAAAGCAGTACGTACCGTGTTAAAGGGACAGACAGAGTGCCTACCGTGTGTATGTAGACGTTGCATTTCGTGATTCCCGAGGATCGGATGTATGTGTTGTTTTTTTATTGCGTACCCGCGTCCATCACGACCATTATTGCGTAGTGTGTCGGCTAATTAAGGTCCTTCCCGTTCGTGGTGTCAGCACACGCGCAACACGCGACTAAAATAAAAATATAAAGCTTGGGACTAGCAACGCCGACGATATTCGTCGGCTTGCTTTCAACAATACGGTATATAGGGGGGAAAACTCCGACGTTTACGGTAAATCAAAAATAACAGCCGGTACGAAACTACTGATTCTTCAGTTTAAATCCACAAACACGCAGCTGCAAGACTCTCACCTCCTGTGCTGATGCGAGCATCCTTCGCGCCGCGCTTCTCCAGAGTTGTCTCCACCGGCACCTCCCCCTGGACGGGGGCGTCTGGTCCATGTTGCCGAGTTCTTGGAAAACCTCCATATAAACAGATTTTTCGCTGATGCTATGGATTCATTGCTTATCTATCTTACAGACTCTTTGCTTCGATAGAGATGGATTCGTTGGGTCATACTGATAAAATAAAAAAAACTCCTCCGTCACCGACTCCAGCTGCTCGGAACTCAGCTCCTCTCCGTCCAAGGGGAGCTCATCAGAAGCACACGGGTGTCGCTCAACGAAGATTTGGCCGGCGCGCCCCCGGAGAGCCGTCCGAAGCTTCTGCACTGCTGTGCCCCACGCCATTCCCATCGGCACCATTGGTTAGCTTTTGGCCCACGCTGGTACGCCCGCGGATGCTGTACCTGCGCCGCGCACGAAAACGCTTGTACCAGCTGGTGAACTTGTCCCTGAACTGCTCAGCCTCCTCCGTCGTGGCAGTGGCGCGTAGACCCCCGAGGGCATCAGGCTTGATCTCCAGCAGCTTGTTCATGACCTCCGCGTTGCCACAGCCGCGGTGCTGCTTACGCTGCTCGTTGATGTAGTCCTCCAAGGCTTGGTCGACATCCGCGGTCGAAGCTGCAACCCCAACGTTGAGCGACTTGGCTTTCGACAGCGTCGGTTTGGCCTGGATCAAACCCTTGAGCTTTCCCTCTTCCTTCACCCATGCAATGATGCGTTTCTTGGCTACCCCGAAAACTTTTGCCGCTCCAGTGTTTCCTACCGGCTTGCCGTCCTCGCAGAGGGCTCTCGTGAATTCCGCCGCCTTCACCTTGAACGCGTTGCTGTAGCTTCCTCTGCCCCCTACCGCCCCAGATCTGTCCACTGCGAAGCCAGGCTCCGGGTACTTGCGTTTCTTGGAGCGTTCGACCTCTTCATTCTTAGCCGCCAACAGCTCGATGGCTTCTCCTGTTGCCAACGGGTCCGCCGCCGAAGGAGCTGCTGCAAGAGCTGCTACAGGAGCTGCTGCAGCAGCATCAGCAGCACCAGCACCAGCACCAGCAGTACTGCCACTGGTCTGTGAGGAAGCAGTACCTGCACCCTCTGACATGGCACAATCAACGGCTGCGTGTTGTGCGCAGTGCGTGCGCTCGCACTGACTACTGACTGGCATCGTGGTTGCGCTATTTCGCCGCCTTTTTTCGGGGTATGTATGTGTGTATCTCGCCGCCTTTGTTCCGGCTCAGATATGGAGAGATGGCACCAGGGTGCGTGCATGCGTGCATATGCACCGGTTTTCCTCCACTCACTGAAAAGACTCCACCACATCCCGTTCGACTGTGGGTATATCTCGAATGGGTAGTCTTTCTGTGTGTGTATTTACTATTCCTTAATACAACACCTGTGTGATTTCATCGGGGATCGCACCGGTCGGAGAGATGGCACCGGGTGTGATAAAAAACCCGAGGAACAAACAATTAAAAAACGATCGCACCCGGTGCCAACTCTCCGACCATGGGACCAAGAACAGATCATTCTTATTGACTTGCATTCGTTGTTTACCGTAAGAGTCGGAGAGTTGGCACGGGTTGTTCTTGTTGTTGCTGTTGTCTTCACATTAAACTCGTGTCAGTTTGCGATCGTTTTATTAAATGTTTTTTCCTCGGTTTTTTTATCGCACCCCGGTGCCATCTCTGCGACCCCGAAATCATTTCGTTTAGAAAGGCACCCCGGTGCGATCTCTCCGTGCGATCCCCGATGAAATAATTACACACAGAGGTGTTGCACCCCGGCGCGATCTCTCCCACCGGTGAGATCCCCGATGAAATACACACAGGTGTTGTATGCACGCACCCCGGTGCCATCTCCCCGACCGTTGCCATACAATTGATTGGTACGAGTGTACTGTAGATACCCGCGCACGCACACAGTCTTCTGCATGCACACACACGCGTATGTATGTGAGTCGGAAAAAAGGCTCCGAAATACCCACAACACAACTTACCCCGAAAAAAGCGGCGAAATAGCACATCTGAGGTGGTACCAGCACACACGGTATCAGTTGTTTCCCGCTGTCGTTTCGGCCTTCTGCTTCTACGGATACCAGTACGTACGCAGAAGTACAATAGCTTCGGATTGTGTAAGGTGGGGTAGGGTGCGGCTTGTACGTTGTGTGTATTGTTGAGTGTACGGTTGGCAACTTCCTTGACCAATAAAAATATTAACACAATTGGCATCCCGCGCAAACCGCGACCATCCAATCGTACGTAAAGGAGTGGCGCTCCGCTGACTCCGTCCCCACGTGTAAAAGGTACGCACATGTACCTCATTCCGGCAGCTGAAAAGGAGTTCAATCTTGGATTTCGGGGTCGGAGAGATCGCACCCTTGGGGGTCGGAGAGATCACACCGGGTGCGATCTCACCGACCCCGGTGCGTAAATCGAACTAAATGTTTTTTTTCTCGGGTTTATAATCGCACCCCGGTGCCATCTCTCCGACCGGTGCCATCTCTCCGGCCCGTGCCAACTCTCCGACTCTTTACGGTACTTGCATTCGTAAGACAGCAGCGCAGCGCGTCAGCACGAGGACACCAGAATTAAACGTGATGAGGGAACAGAGAGCAAAACACGCCGGTAGACATGACCGCAGCAGGGCTACCTTGTCAGCACACGACTTCTTCTACAGACAAATAACTGAAGAGCTTGTCGCAGAACGATTGGGTCTAGCACGGAGAGTCAGTTAGATCACGATGATGCAATACGCACCGTGTTTGCTTTGATCTTACTTGACACACCCACCCTCGGCGGCCCGAACACGATTATATAACATTATTTTCGGTTCAAGTTACGGTCAGCCATTGGATCGAAGCACGCGGCAAGAGGTATTGAGACCTATCTGCGCTCGTCACCAGGCCCGCGCCACTCGATCCAAGGACAAATATCAACGAACAAACCAACCACACAAAGGGCTCAAGGGCGAAGGGTTAGGGCTAGCCTAATGCTAAGGGTCACCCTAACCCATTTCCACCGCAAACGCATGCAAGACAGAGGTGCGTAACGTTCTCACAAACGACGACAAACACTGCAACGACACAAAGCGCGAGACCTCGCGCCATCAACACAACAAGTATCGGACCCGAAAAAGCAGTCCATGCTGCAAACGTACGTACCCCGTCTGACCCTCGGGAGAAGCTCCCGTTTATCTTTCGCTCGTTTCATGAACGACTGGCTCATTGACGATCTAGAGCACCAGCGTTCATGCGGTTCTGTTGATCCCTCTTCCCTGTGGTGAGAGCACAAACGAACAAACTACCAACGGAGCGAGATGGGGATACACAAAACCCACTCCAGTCGAGGGGCAGAGGACAGCCTCGCCCCAACCCTCTTTCGAAAAACCCCAACGAAAACACTACAAAAGAAAAGTCACAACAAACAATAACAAATTTCACCAAACAGCGCACGTCCGTTAGTCGGAATCAATCAAAGCGCTACGAAAGCCTCGTCCCTTTCAGGAGCGGGCGGACCCACCCCTTCGCACCCTCTTTCTTTTGTGTGTGTGGGGGGGCGGGGGGGGCGGGCAGATTCAACGTAGACCCTTGATTCACGTGGACACCCACGATCCTTGCTACAAAAAAGATCCCACCGGCTAAACGCCGTCACCAACCTCTAGGCTTATGATCCCTCTGAGGTAGATTAAACCATCTTTCGCGCAGATACACCTGCACCGTCCACCATCTGCGCGCCCACTCATGTGTCAAGATAAATACTCATATCAACCCCCCCGCACACGGCACTCCTTGTACAATGCAACGAACCAAACTTTCTTTCGCAAAATATTTTGTCTTGCCAACGAAGCTTCGTGTTGCTCGACATGGAAACGCTTGACTGGTTTGATGGCTTCATTCCTACAATCCTTTGACCGATTTTGATGGAATCAATCCTTGTTCTTTGATCGCGGAAGTAGACCAGCAGGACGTCAAAAATATATATAATAGCTTGTGTTATTCGAGTAGCTTGACTCGATTACAAGAAAAATTGTTAGTGTGTAAACGAAGCCAGAGGCGATCTCCCTCGCCGAACTCCCTCCCCCCCCCTCCCCCCCTTTGTGACTGCCGTAAAGTGAGCAGACAGGGTACACCGGTGTTCTTCTTCAAGACAACCATCTATTAAAGGGAACACGGGCATGAGTGCCCATAGAGTGCAATGTCATCAACTGTGATTGGGCGTGTGAATCGGGGTAACACTGGACGATACCACGATTCAGCTATCTGGTGCCGACTAATGTTCCCCAAGCTTCTGTGCCGTCGTGCACAAGTTTGTTTCAGAACCACCCCATGCCCCCCCCCCCTCCCTGGTAAATCCGTGTGAAAGGTAGCCTAGGCCGGCGGTGACCCGGCATGTCGCTCCGTCCCGGCATTGTAGGGAAGCAGAGGCCAATGGGCTAACGACAACGGCACGCGTTTACATGAGTACACCTCCCCTACCGCATCAGAAAATAGCTGCTTGTCCGAGCTGCTAGGAGTCCGCCAGAGCAGTGCGACCTACAAACACGTCATCACGCTGCGGGGAATCTCGTGGCAAGTAGGCGGGACAACCAGACGTACTTTGGCATGTCTCGGAAGGTGAGGGTGCAGGGGTACGCTACCGCGTCGAGGCTGCGGCGGCAGTCAGACACCGAAGCGAAGTGCCCCCCCGCGATGGGGGCCCCGTCAATCGCAACCAGAACCTTTTTTTCGTTACAGCAAAACAACAACACAAAAAAAAAAAGAGGGCAGGGGTCAGTGTGACTGGCGGCGTTCGTCGCATCATCAAGGACATGAGGGAGGATGAAACCGAAACCTTTAAACCGGGTCCCAAGCAACAGCAGCCTGCCTTCGATGCGCGCGACACGCAAGTATCTCACCGCGTTTCTTGCATGTAGTCGTGTCCTAAGGATGATTGATTAATAACGCAAACACGAAAATGTGTACACATTGCTGAGAAACAGCAGTCACATCCTACAAACTGAAGAGAAAAAGTGTCCGCAACAGTGAACCCAATCTATCGCATCGCATGACAGACGTGAGAAGCCACAGGGACTACCCCTTGCAACTAGCAGCCTTTGCAGGGTCTTTCGTATTATGCAAACATTTTTGATAAAGCGTATGTACAAGCGGGGAAGTTGGGGTAGGGCTAGGGAATAGGGTCTGCGTCCTCAATCCTTGTTCTATTTCCTCATAAACTTATCAATCGCGCGAACGCGGCCCCTCACGACACCAACTGTTGCCGAACAAAACTCAAACTCCTGCGAACAACGACACTTTTCCTATGGCACCAAACAGAAGTACACAAATAACGTGATTCCTATGGCCAAATAGAAGTACACACATAACGTGACTCACCATCCCCGGCTGAATAACGCCTCCCTTCTCCAGCTTCCCCCTCACGTACGGCATGGACAACACGACGGGCCTGCCGTCCTTCCCTTCCTCCACCTTGAGCGACAAGTCCTCCGGCGTTGCCGCTAGGACCTCTGAGGGTGACGCCGACACGGCGTTCTGGTACTGAAAATGAAAAACAAGAATAAGATGAGAAAATCATTTTTACCGCACACGTGCACGATGGGTGCGTGAAAAATATTCCTCTCTTTTGCAACACAAAACAATGGAACTGCTGTACATAACTTGGATGTTTTGCCCTCCTCGAATGGTAATTGCGCTGGGGTTGACATTGCCTAAAACCACGTACGCATTTCCACTTTTTGCTAAAAAGCAACCAAACAAGCATATCGCAGAATTGCGAATGCCTCCAAGAAAAGGAAACAAAACACCCGAGACGCACATAACAGCACCACAACCTGAGAGCACGCGAAACGAGCAATAACTCACCTGCTTAAGCCTGGAGAGCGACCCCTCCAACGCTTGCGCCCCCCGCCCCCCCCTCGCGGGATCCACGAAGCCCTCCGCGTCACCCCCGTCAGCATCCTCCGCCGCCGCGCCTGCCCTGCGTATCCTCAGTCGCATGGGGAACATGCCCGGGGCCTCTAGCAACGCTGCATCCTTGCGATAGCACCCGGCACCGGGGAGCGGGATGCCGTTGACGGAGATGAGGGTGTCCCCCGGTTGGACCGCGCCGGAAGCTTCGAGGGCCGTCGGTACCTGTTCTTTCCCAGCAGACAGCGCCGACGGTGAGAGTACGGTAGGCAAGGGACAAAACTCAACAGGAATGATGCACATCGCGTCCGTTCGTCGAGAGGGCAGGTGAAAGGTGGGGATTATTTCGTCGGTCTTGGAAGAGTCGCTTCAACAGCAGCAATAGCAGCAGCGCATGTCGAACTTGCGTGGGAACTTGCGTGGGAAAGCGCGGTGATGATTCTGCAACGACCCCCGCAACCCTCTTTTCGGCTTACTTTCGGCGTAGGTTAGCAGTTAGGGGGATGAGGTGCATGTGGTCCACTTCCCCTGTTCATAGTTCGCGGCAGCGCCATGTGAACATACGTGCTACGGTACAAAACGAACGCCGTCATCAAACATCAAACACGCTACACCAACCCACCAAGACAAGGAAGAAAATAGCAAATTATAAAGATATCATATCTGTGGACAGAGATGGATTCGTTATACTTCTATTGTGTTAAGAAATAAAAATAAATACATTATCCTGGATTCTTGATCTGTGGAAACATGAACTTGTTATATGTGGATAGACATGATGTTATGTATCTGTGGATAGACAGAAAATGCTTACTTTTGAGAAAAAAAAAAGAAAAACAGTGAAGGTAAAGACACTTAACACACCTCGCAGAAGCCGGTAACGGTAACACGACCGGACACCCTCCGCAGCTCTAGCTCCAGGGGCGGCGCATCTACCGTCACCCGGACGTCGATGCTGGGAGCTAGCCCGAACGTCACGGGCCTTGGGACCTTTTGCAGACCGCGCACGAGGTCAGCGAACTCCTGTCCGATCACCCGTCTCCCGTTCACGCTGTGGACCCAACCCGGTGGGGGGGGGGGGGTGGAGTAGGGGTGACGTGGTTTGAAAACACGTGACCAGGACGGAGGGAGGGAGGGGGGGGGGGCTTCTCGTCGCTAGCGCCAACAAGTACGATGACGCTACAACAGCTCGACGACTAAGGTAGATAATGACCATGACTTGTTCTTGACGCGAGGTGGCTGGAAGACTCATCTATGTACTAGTATGTACCGCCACATACATCCGGCAAGAGCGTGTGTCCATGTACCGCGACTCCGGCGGCCATGTTTGCGTGTTTGCTTGTTCGTTCGTTAGTGGTCTCTCCACCGTGTGCCTTATTCTGTCTCTTATTTCTTGTTATTTTCGGCCTGGTCTCTTTTTGTCTTCGCTCTTTTTCTTTTTCGTTTTCCTCTTCGTTTTCTTTTCTCCTTTCTTCCTGTTTCCTTTTCTTTTTTTCTCTTTTTCTCTTTTTTCTCTTTGTCGCTCTTTTTTCTCTCTTTTTCTGTGTCAGATGGCCTTGTCTCTGCTTGCGTGTGAAGCACCAAGATTGAACCAAGGGGGTGTACCTCTTTCTCTCTGGCCCGTGATGCTGACTCCTAGTCTCAGTTGTTACCTCGCACAGCGCGCAGAGGGAGCGGAGGACTCCAGAATATCTGTCGTTGATTTCTATTGACTTGCGGACCCCTCGGGGCCAGTTTGTTTGAGCGTACCTTTTTAGGGTAAGTTAGCCTGTGACCACGGGAATCGACCGCGTCAAGTGTTGGATCAGTGCGGACATATGAAGGTACTGGGTAGAGAGAGATCGGAACGCTTTTTAATGTGAAGACAACAACAACAATTTGCCCGTTTAGGCTATAAACAATACGTGTACGAAGATGGAAATACCGTAAAAGTGCGAGGTCACAACACACCTGTAGAGCAGCTGTCCCGGAACCAAGAGCCCGCTGGCCTCCGCCTCCCGCATCCTGCCCTCCAGGTCTCTAGAAAACCCTCCCACCGTCGTCACGCGGGTGCCCAAGGTAGAGGAAGCACGGAACTTCACACCCAGACTCTGTATTGTTGGAATTGGCGCGGTACACGAGGGCGGGATATCGGGGAGGGGGGGGGGAGATAAGCTATGCCGAAATCGTGTTGCGCACGGAAAAATAAGGGTTCCGTCACAAATCTGTTTTGTTTTATGCATAGATTGATGCATCATTGCAAGAGCGGGTTATCGGGGGGAGGGGATACAAGCTGTGCCGATATCAAGTTGCGTTCGAAATGTACGGACCTCACACCAAGAATAAGCTGTGCCGAATCTTGTGGCACACGGAAATTTAGGGTCCCCGCACGAATCTAGTTTGTCCTAATGCAAGGAACATTTCGAACGCGGGTTATCGGGTGGAGGGGAAGACAAACCTCTGCGGAATCATGGGTTAGGCGCACTTATAGCGAAAGAGGCCCTTCTGAAACAAGCAGAGGGAGGCGTCTTCGATTGCCCAAACCGGATGCCTTCACCTACCACAGCAACACCCTTTCGGTTCGTTCGCTCGAACCACACCGCTCTTGCTGGCGAACGTTTTCTGTTCTGTTCTGTTTCTGTTTTGTTCTGTTCTGTTCTGATAAAGGGCTATTCATCATTATACCGACGTTCTCGGGCTCTTGTGTGTGCACGGCGCGCGTGTCGCTGTTGCATCCGCCAGACGTTGGACTGACCACGGCGGCTCGATGACAGTCAATTTCCTGGGGCGATGATGACGACCATCGATATCCTAGATACAATGTGTGTTCAGTTTCTTCACCCTTTCCCACACTCGGCAAACACTATCTCAGCGTGCGGAAGACGATAAGAGCGTGACGATGCGGATTGATTCACGGGGAACGAGCCAGCCAATCAGCTCAGCGGCAAATTCACTTGAGACGAACGCACCCTCTGCTTGAAAGTAGCAGTCACCAGCCCGTCGGGTGGGGGGAGAGCCTCCGCATCCTTGCCTAAGGCTGACGCCGCCACCGCCTCCGCAACGTCCGGCACGTAGCACCTGCATTCATCCACACAAAACAATCACATACACAGAGAGCACATATTCGTCGGGCACGTAAGCATAGCGCCAGATCCGCACAAAACAAGCACACACGCGGTCTCTATTACGTCGAGCACGTAGCACCTATTGCATTCATCCACACAAAACAAGCACACACGGAGTCTCTTGTACTATTAAAATATACCCATACGGACGGTAAGTGCACTGCGAAAGTTACAGTGCAGCCTTGGCTCTTTCCTTGACCCTCCGACCAAGGTTTCCGCAGAATCAGCAAGCAGTCTTACAATGTATTACTAGACGCCTGCATAAAACATGGTCGAGGGGGGGAGGGCACGATAGAATCGTCCCAGGTCCCCTCGCCCCCATCCTTGTAACTTCCAACACGATTGTGGGGGCAGAACCCAAACGCATCCCCCCCCCAAAAAAAGTACACAACGACGAAGTACCCCTCTCTTTATTTTTTTCTATTTTCGAAGTCCCCCTCTGGTAACGGGCATCTGGTCATGCCAGATTCAAAAACATGACGATCAAATACTCTCTTTGACTCCATGAAATGAGTCTCATGTTTTCAAATATAGATCAAACGCAAATACGGCAGACCGCTCACACATCCCATCGGCCACAGACGACTACATAGTGGAGAAAATTGCCCCATTCTTCACTACCAATCCACAGGAGGCAAAATTGGATGGAAAATAGGAAAAACAACGGGACAACGGGGAAACAACAACAACCTTGTAGCCGAGCAGTCGCTACCTGAACATCATCTGCACCGGGCGCGGGCTGGAACGTAGCAGCCCCAGCACCTTCGTACCCTCCAAGCCCTCAACAGACGCGCCGCCCACGGATAGCAACTCCGCCCCCACCTGTGAAAAACAGGCCCGGGTAGCAACAGACACGGTCACGGCAAAGATAGGTGAAACTATAGATAGATACCCCGGTTCAAATACGACAAGCCGGGGACGAATATGGGACGAACCAGAGGAAATAAGCGCAACAGGAGCACACACGCTTTTATTGCTGAGGCAAGCGCCTGAGCGACCACACGAAACCCGAGGCATGTTCGGATAGGAAACCCGTACGCACAAGTTTCTGGAAGTGCAACCTTCTTCTCTCTTTCTCTACGCGCCAAACCAACGCCCCCGCGCAATATTGGTGCCCACAGCGAATCAGCGCTCGCACACGTACGGATACATACCCCTCGCCTGCACCTGGTCCCGTGAGAACCCGGCGTGCTCCGTCCCGGGTTTGTAGGGATGCGAGGTCAATGGTCTAACGACTATCGCATGCACGGCTATGAGAGTACCCCCCCCCCCCCGCCCCCCCCCC